CCATTGTGTCACTTTAGCAATGTGAGTCCACCTCTTGTTGGACTACAAAGCAAATGTGTGGATTCTATAAGAAATCTAGGAAGGTGCGTTATCTAATTTTAATGTTGAGAAAGAGAAGCTTGAGGGGATATGTAACCAAATAGGAAGCAGAATGCTCAGAGATGATAGGCGTCGTCGCTATGTGGTGACTCTTCACATCATCTTAAACTAAATCTCTGGTCTTAATCACAAAACCCTCATATAATTCCTAGTACTTGAAGCAAGCAGCCCCACTATTGTCTTTACCCTGTTGAGGTGAAAATACAGGTTTTTGACAGTTAAGCCTAAAACATGACAGCAAACTTTGTTTAAATAGTCCTCAGAATAGCTCTATGGGAAACAAAGAATGTAGGATCTGGCCAGTTTTTATGAGAAAAATAATTGTTAAATGTACATGAGCAAATAGTAATACATACATGTTGCGATGGGCAAAAGGTGCAGTTCAGGGGGAGAAATAAAGAATGTCCATGTGCTTCTGACCTTTTCAATGTTTTATTCACTCAAATCACTCAATACAATTTCACTCTATAGGTTCTTAATCACAAAAATGACAATCCTTAATGGGAGGCACTACAATAGACATAATCAATTCACATAAAACAATTCTAAATTAATTCTAAGCACTGCAAACACAGTTAATCATGACAGGCTTATGACAGACATTCTTTTTGCATGTTAAGCTCAAGTATCAGATCAAAAGTCTCAAGTCTTAGGCTCTAAGTCCAGAAGATGCACACTCATTCAGACCATGGTGATCAGATCAGGAACCAAGGCAGACTTCTTCTGGGGTGGAGCTTACAGCACCATGCTATTATATTTATCTTAATTTCTTCCTATAGTCAGTTTATAAAATACATATCATTACCCCCATTTTATAGAAAAAGAAACTGAGATTTGTTGTAGTTAAAACAAGTAGAAAGTAATTACTAATTTTCAACCCTGTTTAACCCAATGAATTATTTTATATAAAATAGTTCATAATGACCCATTTTATGCTAAAACAAAATAACATTATTTATCATATTTATATACACACATATATGTAATTTGAAAAATCAGTAAAATGTTCCAATTTTTATGTAAAGGAGAAGTAAAAGTATTTTATATGTATTTTAATATGTAAGGACTCTAAGACAACTACCCTAGGATACATAGACTGGTTGATACAGGCTGCTTCTTTACTTTTTTTAACATTTATTTTTTAGTTGTAGTTGGATACAATACCTTTATTTTTATTTATTTATTTTTATGTGATGCTGAGGATGGAACCCAGAGCCTCGCACATGCTAGGTGAGTGCTCTATTACTGAGTCACAACCCCAATCCTGATATAGGCTTCTTTTTTAAAAAAACAAATCTTGTTAATGTTTTTATTCTAATTTGTATATATAACAACAGAATGCATTACAATTCATATTACACATACAGAGCACAATTTTTCATATCTCTGGTTGTATATAAAGTATATTCACCATTTGTGTCTTCATACATGTACTTAAGATAATGATGTCCATTTCATTCCATCTTATTTTCTACCCCCATGCCCCCTTCCTTCCCCTCCCACCCCTTTACCCTATCTAGAGTTCATCTTCCCATGCTCCCCCTAGCAACCCAACTTTGAATCAGCCTCCTTATATCAGAGAGAACATTTGGCATTTGGGTTTTGGGGATTGGCTAACTGATTTTAGATATTTGGGGAAAATTCCTAGGAGTGGGATAGCTGGGTCGCTTGGCGGTTTCATACCTGTGTTTTGAGAAATTGACAAACTGCTTTCCAGAGTACTAGTCTACAGTCCCACCAATAATATACAAGTGTTCCTTTTTCCCAAAAACCTCTCTAGTATTTATTGTTATTTGTATTTTGGGGTGGAGGGTAACCGAGATTGAACTCAGGGGCACTCAATCACTGAGCCACATCCCCAGCCCTATTTTGTATTTTATTTAGAGACAAGGTCTCACTGAGTTGTGTAGTGCCTCGCTTTTGCTGAGGCTGCCTTTGAAATCGTGATCCTCCTGCCTCAGCCTCCCAAGCTGCTGGGATTACAGGCATGCGCCACTGCACCCAACTTGTTACTTGTATTCTTGATCTTTGCCATTCTGACTGGAGTGAAATAGAATTTCAGTGTAGTTTTGATTTGCATTTCCCTGATTGCTAAAGATGTTGACCATTTTTTTTCATGTATTTACTGTCCTTTTGTATTTCTTCTATTGAGAAGTTTCTGTTTAGTTCCTTTGCCCATTTATTTACTGGGTTATTTGTTTTTTCAGTGCTAAGGTTTTTGAGTTTTTTGTATATTCTGGATATTAATCCTCTATTGGGAGGAGTAACTGGCCAAGATTTTCTCCCGTTCTATAGTCTCTCTCTTCATGTTCTTAATGGTTTCCTTACCTGTGCAGAAGCTTTTTGGTTTAATGGCATCCCACCGTTGATTGTGGCTTTATTTCTTGTACTTTGGAGGTCTTATTAAGAAAGTCTGTGTCAGCACCTATATGATGGAGTGTTGACCCTATGTTTTCTCCTAACAATTGTATGGTTTCCAGTCTAGCTGCTAAGTTTTGATCCATTTTGATTTGAGTTTTGTGCAGGATGAAAGAATAGGGTCTAATTTTATTTTTCTACAAATAGCTATCCTGGTTTTTTCAGCACCATTTATTACAAAGGCTGTCTTTACTTCAAGATATATTTTTGGCACCTTTATCAAGTATTAGACTGCTATAGACTTTTAGGTTTGTTTCTGTGTCTTCTATTCTACTACATTGGTCTTCATGTCTGTTTTCATACCAATACCATGGTATTTCTGTTACTACAGCTCTGTAGTATAATTTCAGTCCAGATATTGTGATGCCTCCTGCTTCACTTTTCTTGCTTAATATTATTTTGGCTATTCTGTGTTTCTTATTTTTCCGAATTAAGAATTATTATTTTTTTCTAATTCTGTGAAGAATGCCATTGGCATTTTGATGGGTATTGAATTAAATCTGTATATTGCTTTTGGTAGTATGGCCATTTTTGACAACATTAATTCTGCCTCTCCAAAAACATGGGCTGTCTTTCTATCTTCTAAGGTGCTCTTCATTTTCTTTTTTCAGTGTTCTATAATTTTCACTGTAAGGTTATTTTAGCTCCTTGGTTAGATTAATTACCAAGTATTGTTTTTCTTAGGTTATTTTGAATGGGATAATTTTCCTGATTGCTTCCTCAACTGAATCACTGTTGGAGTATAGGAAAGTTATTGATTTATGGGTGTTGATCTTTTAGATACAGACTTTTACCCATTGGTAGAATTAGCAAAAATAAGACCATTTTAAAAGCAGACTGATACATATTCTTTGATTCAAATACTTGAGTAGTTTTGAGATTGAAAATATAATTGCTGAAAATGGAGCACAAAGATTTTTTGGTAAAGTTCTGAACAGTAACTACAAAAAGAAGAAAAAAATCCTCTTTTACTTTTCAAGAAATTTCAGTGTCTAGTAAAACATGCAAACATTTGATATTTTTATGTAAAAAAGAGTTAGTTCCTGAGCTGAGATAATTATTAATGGATAATATATCTTCATTAATGCCTAGTGGGCCATTTTAATTCACAAAGTTTCACCTGCATATGACAGGGTATCTAAATCTCTGGCTTAGCTCAGAGAATGCCAATAGTGCCCTCAAAGTTTTTTTCAATCAAAAAATTTCCAGAAATCATTGAAATGACTATTGGGACTACAAATCACTACATAGGCATTTATATTCCAAATTTAATTCTTACGTGTCTTCATAATCTTGCTTTAAAGTTTAATAGGAGAGTTATTTTACTGTAAGGAGATTTTAAATAATTTTTGTTCCTTGAACCCATTTTGCAGTTTAGTGAATGCTGTGGATTTCTTTACAAAATTGTGCTTTTTAATGCATAAAATAAAAGAAAGATTTGAAAACAAAATCAATTATATTGAAATTATATATATATGTATATATATACATATATATATAGTCTCCTAACGTGTAATGCTATATGTAAATTATTATGATAACAAAATACTGCAATGATTTGTTGCCTTTCTTCAAGTTGAAAAAAAATAAGATGGGTTTGTTTGCTTTTTTTTTTTAATCCAAGTTTAGGAATGCCCAGGACCATCCATAAACTCCAAGCTAAAGACTCCTATTCTATATGGGATGCATCTGTACACAACTGAACATGACTAACTGGTTCAAAAAACAGTGAGAAGAGAGCATGTGACTAGCTGATTCTTAAAGAAGTATTAGTTATCAAGTAGAGAAGCATAGGGAAGAATATATATAAAAATCACAGGGTCAGGAAAGACCACAATATGTATAAACAAAACAAAGTAATTTGCTTCAACAAATGAAGGTGGAAGAAACCTGAAAAATGAGGTTTGGACTAGAATGTACAGTTCCTTCTTATTTTTTCTTGATTCATTCCTAAAATCAAAAATATGTTATTACTCTAATTCTACTTATCCTTACCTGTGTACATACTGGGATTTTTATTTCATCAAACATCTGCACATACTATATCATCATTTTATATTCTGTGAAGTCCACTTTATCAAAGCCCATAAATAAAATCTGGTTAATATTTTTTGATGGAGAATTTTCTGAGCATGACTATGCTGTCCAAGAAAACTGTTGCAAATAGGAAATATGGCATAATTGAAAATATACCAAGCAAAGTTCTCTGTCCTACATTTGACTGTATCTGTTTCAGTTAAAATAAATAGGGCAATATGAGACAGGATTTTTTTTATAACATGACTTAATTAATCAAACTTTTCTTCACTATACCTCCATTGGATACCTACAACTTCTGATTGGAATAGGTCAGTGAGAAATGTCATTTATCATGTGATATTTTATGTCTTTCTGGATTAGATAAATTTACAATTAGGTGCTAACATCAGATGCCCCTTAGAACTGTTTTCAATGGTTACTAACTTATATACATTTATTTTCAGTGAGTGCCATAACTCCACAGATCGAATCAAAGTCAGAGTGTGGGATGAAGATGATGACATTAAATCCAGAGTCAAGCAACATTTCAAAAAGGAGTCAGATGATTTTCTGGGACAAACAATTGTAGAAGTAAGAACACTGAGTGGAGAAATGGATGTCTGGTATAACTTAGGTGATTATCTTTACATCTACTTGAAAACAATTTTTTAAAATATTCCAGAATGTCATCTAATATATTCACACATAGGTACAAATAACCAATGTCTAAAGATCATTCTGTTGGACTTTTAGGTGGAGTAGTTTCATTGGCAATTAAAAGTAAATGTTCAAATTTAGTATTACTGAAAGAGAGTTGTAAATGGGAGATGAAAAGAGAAAACTCAAGGAACTAACTGAATGTCTTCAGAGAAAATTCTTCATTTTTAATTCATAACATATGGCTTCAAAAACTTTTGCCCAATGTTTGGGGAAAAATAATCAAGTTCTGACTTAGTGCTGTTTGATTGATTTCCTTCTGGTCTATTAATGGAATTTTGGCAATAAAAATACATCTTGGATTTCTCTCAAATCATAACGTAAAAGCACATTTTAGTTGATAAAACCATTATGCATGTGGATTCAGCAATGACTCTGAGTGAGGATGAAAATATTGAGAGAATGTTCATTTTATGATTTTTAAATTAAATTTATTATATCAATAAATACAAGTTTTAATATGACTTTAACTAGACTTGAATAATACCCTATAATCTCCATCGATGTTTTAATAGTAGTAAAAATACATTGGTTACCCCAGTTTCTACAAAAGACATGATACAAAGATCTCTTACTGAAATCCTCTGATTTTTCACTTTTTGAAGGCTGGATGGTCATGGGTCAATGGAGAGTTGACACAGCTCCAGGGTTACAAAAAAGTTACCACCCAAGAAATAAATATACTTTAGCAAATTAAAATGTGCTTTTTAGCTTTTTTTTAAAGCCTGCTAACTCTGAGCAACATAATAGTTGACAAACTAAAAGAAGAATGTCACAGAATTAAAAAAAAACTCTACATAATAATTTAAAGAGACTGAACTTATCTGGACACAAATGATTCAAGCTATACTGAGAACCCATTACCAAAAATATTTTCAAAATCCTCCTTAAAGAAATTGGTACGTCTACATCATTGGGGTAAAATTTTAAATCTACATTATCGTGACATCCTCCTACATCTTGTTTAAATTATTAAATAACTTTATGTATGAAAACAGATGTTAAGTAAGGGTAAATTTTAGGCCATTAATTGGGTACAATATTCATAATTTATATTTTATTTTAAGAGGTTTACATGTGCATGGACTTTTTTCCCCCCTAGCATGTCCTTGAGTTGAGGCAGTAAAGTGATAATCAGACTAAAAGTCCCTAGTTTGTTCTTTTGACAAAACATGAGAATATGTTCAATTTGCTAAGGACAATGAATGTGCCGTTACTGAAATCAAATGTCCAGTTTTCATGCTCAAATTATTCTTTAGTCTATGTGAGGATTATATCACTCAATACATTCTCCTCTGCCCAGTCACCCTCAGTAAGTTCTTTTTTTTCCCTTATTGTTGATGTTTAACCTCAGAAAGAGAGAAAAACAGGTTTTATCTTTCTGAGCATTTTGTAAAATCTCTCAGTATGTTCCATCCTTTCATTCTTTGTACACCTTTCTTCCTTCCTCATGACTTAGAATTCATTTCACCACACAAAGTAAGACTTGGCCAAAAGCCCTGGGTGCCCAAGGGCTTCCCATGGGTCTGTTGGGATAATGATAGTTAAAAATTAAAGACCCAGTTATCTCCCCTGGAGCTCTGGAAAGAGGTAGGTGGCAAGAAAATCCTAGGGCTTGCATTTTTCTAAACACCAGCAGAGAACTTTAGTATTCATTGAGAATCAACCATTTCTCAGCAAGTAGGAAAAACTCTCATGATCCTCATACTAAGAAGGATCTTCAAAACACAAGGACTCTTAAATAGTAAGGATGAGAAATCAGGAGGCATTCTACAGGACAGAGTAGCTCTCATGATTTAATTCTATATTACATGGCTAAAAAAAGAGGGCCAATTAAAGAAGTCTTCACCACTGACTTGGTGCCACCTTACTTAGATCTTATTTCTCACTGTGAAATGGGTTGGCATGCCTTTTCATAATTGGTTTATGAAATGAGTAGACATTCCTTTTCATATTTTATTTATGAAATGGGTATCATACTTCGGTACCCACCTAAATTCACACATTAGAAATTTTGTGACTAAGACTTTTTTTTTCAAAGCTACCACTTATAAGTGCTCATATACATACACTATTTAACAATTCATTATATATTGATCCTATTCAAATAAGTAATTAACCCAATATTATATTATAAATAAACAAAGGCTATAGACAGACTATAGGTCCTATGAATCACTGATAGTGGAAATTCATAACTGATTTTTGTTGTTTTTAACCAAAACTTTATCTTTTCAAACACAGAAAGAAAGATAAGAAACTGAGAACTTTTAAGTAAAATAATTTCCTATCTAATATTCAATCAGTGAATTAGACAAAAGGAAATGAAGGGAAGGGGTGATAGGAACAGGAAAGAGTAGAATGTAGAATATACATATATATATATATATACACATATATATATATAACTTTCAGATATAACTTTCCTGTGTTCATATATTAATACATAGCCAATGAAACTCCACATCATGTACAACCACAAGAATGGAATCCTAATTAGAATGATTTATACTCCATGTATGTATAATATGTCAAAATATACTCTACTGAAATGTATGCCTAAAAGGAAAAAAAATAATAAATAATACTATACTTTAGCCATCTTGCTTTTGATCGCCAAATATTATATTTAATTTCATTGTATAAAATGATAAATTACACAAAATTTCTATCAGAAGAGTAGTATCTTCTGATTAACTTTTTCTATAAGGCAGTTTAACAAGCACAATGATACAATAAACAAATCTTTTAAGTTGTATTTAGGGAAATCATGGCTATTTAATCAAATATAATTTATAAAAATAGATTTTAGCCACATAAGCCTTTTTTAAGCTTTTGAAAACTTGAATAAGAAATAGTATATTTTTTGATTTATCAGAGAAACGGACAGATAAGTCAGCTGTATCTGGAGCCATTCGATTGAAAATCAATGTGGAAATTAAAGGAGAGGAGAAGGTTGCTCCATACCATATACAATATACATGTTTACATGAGGTAAGTAAGTTCTATTTTATTAAGAATAAAACCTAGAAAAGAAAAGAGTTTTGATAATGAAACATAAAATAGTATTATATTTAAAAAGAAACCATGGAATTAAATTTGTAGAGTTCCTAGAGTTATGACTCTGTACTATAACAGGTGATGTGAGGTGTTATAAATCCCAAGTATTGACCCCAAAGAACTTTTCTTCTAACAAGGGTTCAGAACAAGCTTATGAGAACGATATTTTTAAAGGGCCTACTCATGAGTTTCTTATGTGCCTCTGAAAAAATAAATAGACCAGTAATTTGGGGCTTCTATTGGATGCTTTGCATTGGAGTAGATTGTGGTGACACTGAAGACTTTCTTAGATGCAAATGATACTTGTCCTATATAACAAAAAAGGTTAGGTAAAACTGAGGAATGTATCATTTCACACATTCAAAACGATCAAGTACTCTTCCAGTGACAAAAAAAAAAGTTTGAAATTGAAAAACTGCTTTGATTTTTTTTGTACATTATATTTCCTAAATATATCTATGAAAATTTAGACCTTTATTTAGTCAATACATATAAGCAATTTGCACCCAATTTTACTAAAGTAAAAATGAGAAACTGCCTTTAAGTCATTTACCTATTATGTAGTAATCAGCCATAGGGCCTAAACTTCTTTACTACAATCCATTAGTGATCTCTTTCCTTCAAGAAGAGTCATTTACTTTTCAGACCAATAAAAAGAAATCCCTTGAACTAGCATGATGGGAGGAGTCTGGACTTACGTTATAGGCAGAGAACATTTGGGTTTAGAGAAACAGCATTATGCTTAACTTTTTAGAATCTTTTCTGGTGGTTCAAGGACCAGAAAGAACTGAAATCTAAGAGAAGTTTCTTCAGTTGATTCACACTGCATCCATACAGCAGTTCCCAAATTGTTATTAGCAAAAAGAATCCAGGGATAGTGATATTTTTTCCATTATTAAATTTTCAAGCATTCATTTTCAACTTCATTTCATTGCCCCATTGGTTATCATTATGTAACTACATTCTGTAATAATGTAGCCAAAATCACATTCTTCCAGGGCACTATAATTGATTCAGAGTCCATGAATGTAAAACATATCCTATCATGCAGCTATATTTACATACAAACATTTTTATTTTCTAATGAAAGTATTTGGGTATGTACAAAACATGTGAATAATTGATTCTGTATAGTTCTAACCAGAAGTAAAGGCATCTTTTGAATAATAAGTGAAGTGAGTTAGAATAAAAATCTAAGCTATTTCTCTACTTTTAGATGCTGATAAAACATTAGAAGAGATGACATTGCAAGTGTATTTTACTGAAAGTTATAGTTAAATATTTCCAGCTTATTCTGAGGCGTCACTGAACAATTGAAAACCACTTGCTTTTAGAATCTGTTCCATTACTTAACTGAAGTGAAATCTAATGGTGGAGTGAAAATCCCAGAGGTCAAAGGGGAGGAAGCCTGGAAGGTTTTTTTTGATGATGCATCCCAAGAAATAGTTGATGAATTTGCCATGCGCTATGGGATTGAATCCATTTATCAAGCCATGACGTAAGTACTATCTAATACCTACATTGTCAGCAATCTCTGTGGAATTCTAAAGAAAAAGAAAAGAGAGAGAGAAAGAGAGCATTCATCTTACTTCTAATTCAAAGAAAACTTTGCTTAAGAAGATGGTCACAGTTTATTGTGAATGATTGATACTGACTACCTGCTCCTAAAACTGTAACGGTATTGGGGATTCAGTAACACTCTATCATCCTCCTTTACCTTTGTTCTGTTTTCACAGTGTGGTCTCTTGATGGTATCCATAGCACTCAGAACCTCGAAATGTAAATTCTCCACCTGAATCAGAAATTCTGAGGGTGGAGCCCAGAAACCTGTTTTAACAATCCTTTTAGTTGCTTCTGACAACTTTAATGTTCAAGAAATAACACCTTATTTGATATTTGAGGAAACTAAAGCCCTGAAGTGTCCAAAGTTAGACAGGAGGTTAATGTCAGTGATATATCCAGAAACATTTTAATGTCTTGCACCAATATTAGAGTAATCAATCCTTCCTTTGTGATTTAGATCAGTGCCCCTATTTCAGTAAGACAAAGATCTACTGGGTCCTGATAGAAGCCAAACACTTCAGTTAAATACAGTACAACGGAATTGACTTTGAGACTCCTAACCCTTACTGAGGAGCTCAGTCAGGATCCAGAACTGGGTCATTACTTCTTGTAGCTTATATTCTAAGATCTGGTCCAAGTTTGTAAATGCATTTGGTACACATGTATCATGTATAATATATAAACTATATGTATATATTAGATGATTTTTCTTTTATATTGATGACAGGGTCATACTTGCATGTGAATTGAATAGATGTTGGCTCAGATAATCAATATAATTAATTTTAATGAGATGTGAGTAGAACAAAATCAGTGTTCCTCCTTAAAGTTTATTATTTGTGACACTTAATCACTATTTATAATTCCTGAATAGCAAGACTTAAGAATAAATGAGTTTTTAAAAGTAGTGATAGAGAAACTGAGTGCTTTTACAGTTTTTAGAATGCCCTGATGTTAAATAGTAAAGATAAACAGATTTTTTTTTTTTTAGATGTGAAGAATTTAACCTCTAGTCTAAATCTGGAAACATTGTTATTAGATCTCTGACTGATGGTTATTGTCCATCAGCTTGCCCATATCCAGTAACAAGGGCTCGCTTTCCATGCAATCTGCCTTGTAATGGGGCAGCTACAAGGGAATCGATGACTTTGCCATCTGGTTTGTCCCATGCCAAAGGCTGTAACTCAGCAGAATACCTAGTATAAATTTTGAGCGGAATTAAAATTCAACTGTGATTAACAATATAAAGTAAATGAGCTGTTCTGTCCAAGGAAATTGAGGTTAAAACAATCAAAGCAACCTGCATCTGGAAAGAATCCCAATAAAAGAAAATATCATGCTGAATTTATCACAAAATATTTCTGTGTGCTAATGTCAGATTCCTTAATTTCTATTGTTTTTTTATATTCCTAGAAGCACAGTCATGTTACTATAGAAAAATTGTAAATACATGATAGTTGAAAAGGGAATCAGACCTCATTCATTTTTTTCTTACCTCTGAATCTGACCAAATAATAAGAATAAAAAATATTCAGTATACTTATTTGATTTTAAGTCACCTGCAGGTGAATTTAGTCAACTCAGGTTTGACAAAGCCCCTGATCATACTATGTAATAATCTAAAACAGATTGGCAATAAATATTTTTTTCTATGAAAATAAACATTTTTCTGTGACCAGATAGTAAATACTTTGTGGACTCTACTGCCTATTGTCTCTATCACAATTGTTCCACTCTGAAGTCTACTCCAAAACAACTTAAATATAAGCAAACAAATAGGCATGGCTGTGTTCTGATGAAACTTTTTCTTAAAAAAAAAAAAATATATATATATATAGAGAGAGAGATAGAGATGTGTATGTGTACATATATGTGTGTGTGTGTGTGTGTGTGTGTGTG